GCCCCAAGACACCCAAATCTATCTTAATATCTCTAACATCAATTTACACTGATATGGAAATTGTTTTTTATGGCAGCAACACCAAGAGTTCTCAAGTTCCATGGAAACAACAGATGTTTAAAGTGTGGTCACAATATTGTCACAAATATATAATCTGAATAGGAAATACATGAAATCAAAGTAGCTGTACATCTCATGTTAAACTCAAAACACTGACTAAAAAGTTACAATTAAGGAAACCAATAGCCTTTCTGCTGCTGTTTTAATTGACATGACAGATAGGAGTACCAGAGGCATGTCCATCTACTACACTATGGCTAGGAGCATTAACAAGGGCCACAAAGTGATCAAGAGCATGACAAAGCTGGCATACTGATACCACTTCAGGCAACTGACCAAGCTACTACCAAGCCTGTGTGTAAACTTAGGCAGTGTATGGGTTTGCCCCTAATAAAGTGAGCCATGGAATTATTAGAAGTCTCCAAGGATAAGTAGGCTCTGAAGGTCATTAAAACAAAAAAAAAAGGTGGAAACTAAGATTAAATCAAGAAAAAGAACTCAGTAATGCCCTGGCTTCCATGAAGAAGGCTGCAGTCAAGGACTATGCCCCCCAATCACTCAATAAAGAAGTGATAAATGGGAATTAAAAACTAACATATACCTTCAAAGACTCTATTACTTCCTAATTATAAGAAATGAAACATCACAGCATCATTAGTATGGTGTCTTACTGATCAGCCTAGTTTGAGCTAGTATAGCAGGAAAAAGCCAGAAAAACACTGTAGAGAATTTTTCCTATCAATTAATTTGAAAGGCAGTAGGGGGAGGAGAGGCACAATTATTTACTGTGCTTTTTTTTTTTTTTTCGAATGGGAGATTTCAACTACAAATCTCAACAAATTCATTTTGATGCAGATAAAAGGAGGTACTAAGAAATAGAGAGCTAAAAAAAGAAATCAAATTAATTCTTAAAAAAGGACCTAAAGTATGAGACTGCTATTCAAGAAAAACTAAGAGAGTATTTGGAAAAGGAAATATATTACACTTTGGCTTTCTTTTATTACCTCCAACTAACAATTCATTTGAATCACTAGATGTATACCAGTTCATACAAAAAATATTTCTAAAATCCAATATTGCCAAGAAACATCTTAAGTAAAATCCAGTGAGTAACGCACTGGTCTTAATCAACAGACCAGCAAATCTTGAACTATAAACTGTAGTAATTCAATTAATAATCTCCCTGGCTGGTCCTGGACAAATCATATTATATCCATATTACCCTTAGATTCTTCATCTATAAAACAAAGAAAACACTACTACCCTTATGTTAAAATTGTACAGGGCAATAAATATGATACTACATGGAGCAACCAGACGAGGTGAACTAAATTTACATGCTAAATAACTTTTCTTTTATTACATGAAATGCCAGTAAGTTTAAATATTCATAGTTGTAGAGAAATATTTAAAATATGTTTATCATCTTCCTTGACTTTGTTCGTTCTCTATGTTACCAGTTTCATGTAGGAAATTCACTAATAGAATACTTGTGCCTAAAGTAGTCACCAAAGAAAGAATACCTACAAAATTTTCTCTCTGCACACAAACTCTTATAACACAAATGAAATAAAGCCTACTTTTCTACCAATAAGCCTCAAAAGGCTTAAGTTAATAAAAATTAGCAGTATTTTGGTGACTTCTGATACATATTACTCAGGTGTATTTAGTTTTGACTTAGTGATATTAACTTCCTTTCTATAGGAAATCTTAGATCAAGGGGATTTTTTTTTAGCTGTAAGTCTATCAGAGAATATTTAAAAAAGGAAATAAAACCTTTTCATTGTTAATGGTATACATCATAAGCAAAGGTACAAAGCTAAAAAAAAAACCTAGGAAAACTCATGACTTTCCATGGATTCGGTCCCCACACTCACAGCTTGGTTGGTACTGTACAACCACCCCCCCCCTTTTTTTTGCAGGGGTGGGGGGAGGGAGGAATATATTTTGTATAGACATATAGGTATATACTCTCCTTTATTAGAAGGTAAGCTAGGGCCGCTAGGTGGCGCAGTGGATAGAGCATCAGCCCTGCAGTTAGGAGGACCTGAATTCAAATCCAGCCTCAGACACTTGACATTTTCTGGCTGTGTGACCCTGGGCAAGTCACTTAACCCCAACTGCCTCACCCCCCCCCAAAACCCCCCTTTTTTGAAACAGGGACTGTTTCACTTTTATCTTTGTAGCCAGCACTTAACACTGTGCCTGGCACATGTTAGATATTAATAAATGCTAATTAATTTCTTGACTGATAAAATAAAACCCAGAAACTTTGACAGTTAAGTACAACACGAAGAAAGATCTCTTCCATATTAACAGAACTGCTTTAATCCAGACAAATTATAGCCCAATTAAAATCTAGGTCTCATGAATATTTAACCTCTTACATTTCATATGAGTTCATTTGAGAACTTTTTGTTATGTGTGCTTTCAATATTAAATAATACTATTCAGTTTTATAAAACAAGGCCTACTGCTATATAGAGAGATAGATTAAAAAGTAATGACAATATTTAGAAAAGTAATTTGATTACAACATCCTGAAATTTGGGTCTAGATAGAACAATAAGCCACTGACTTTGAAATATGAAAATGGGCTAAGTCGCAGGGGTGGCGAACCTGTGACCTCAAGGCCACATATGTGAATCTTTGACTGAATCCAAACTTCACAGAACAAATCCCTTTAATAATAAAATAATTTGTTCTGTAAAACTTGGACTCCGTGAAAAGGCGGCACCCAAGGATCTAGAAGGCCACATGCGATGTTGAGGCCGCAGGTTCCCTACCCCTAGATTTTTAAATAAAAAATGATAAATATCTGCAAGACCATGGGTCAACAGGTTCAGTCAATCAATAACTCTTTATATTTTCTTGGAGGAGAAACTGTCATGTAATGAGCAGGATAATCTGCCACTCAAGGATTTCTAAATCTCCTCAGAGTTGGCCAAGTTGTCTGCTATCAAAATGATTATATAAGAAAAGATATAAAAACTTATTACCCAAGATTCAAAGGTATCCCTATGTCTTTGAAATTAAAAGATACATCTCACCTTTCATTCAGGGTTTTAGTTAATGGCAGAGAAATGGAGGAGTTAAGGCCATTTAAAAAGCATAAAGTAGACAAATATATGGAAGATAGGTAATGACTTGTTAAGTTCAGCATACAGAAACCAATGTTTTTAAATTATCCAGAACATGTTTGAAGCCGCTAATAAGGTTCTATTCTAACAATGTTACAAGGGAAAATAAGACATTGTTACAGCTGAAAAGTACTGATGAAACAAAAAATAAGGATAAAGACCTATGATGCCAAAAATGTGGAGGGTAGGAATCCTGAAAAGCCCTTCTGAGAAAAGACTGTTAAGAAAAAACAGGAAACAGCCAAATGGAGAGGCCACTGAATATCCATGAACACTCACCCAACCAATGGTAGAAGACCTCTTGTAGAGCCAGATGCTTGAAACAGCTGAAATGGCATCAAGTTTTTATTGATTACTCTTAAAAGGGTACTAAAGCCTAGATCAACTCCACACTACAAGAAAATAAACATTAACTGCTACCACAGATAACTTCGGCTACTACCACTATAAATATCTAACATGAAAAGAGGGTGCAACAATGGCTATTTCTAAATCAAACAAAAATCCTTACAATGAATACTTCATCTTTATCTTAGGTAGCATGAAAATCCCAAAAAGGAATTTTGTCAGTCATTGAAAATCTTTAAATCCTAACATGGAGTGTAAAACTCATCAACAGAACTGGTTTAAATTTGTGACTACTATTAATAACAAAAAAATTGACTTTAAAAATGCAAAATTTTTAATGGCAAGAATTTCTTCTTTTTAAACATATGGTAGCTTCTAAGTTCTCAGAATTTGGGGACTCTTTTCTTCCTTTTCTATGTTAACTCCTAACCTTAAGCTTTTTAGTTACACTAATACTACTTCTAATAGAGAATCATTTGCTAGACTTTATATCTAGACAATATAGATTCCGTTTTCAAAATTACATGTTCCAAAAGAATTTGGAAGTGGAGATTAAAGACTAAAGTTTCTCTGAGCTTATGAAAGTATTAAATATATCTGTTAGTGACAAATAGGTTCAAAGCTAGATGACAACCTAAAGGATTTTTCTTAGTTTCTAGGAATGTAGAAGCAAGATGTGCTTTTCCAAAAGGAGAGATTTCTTGAAAGGGTCCATCTAGTAAAAAATGAAGTCTTGAGCAAGATAACTCTGAAAGTAACATATTACATTATGTGTTTAAAAAAAGGCAAACTGAATATAATAGAGACTTGCAATTTCCTGTATACTCTTCACTCTCTGTTCTACCTTGTGTATGGAAGTAATAATTTTGTTTGGTATTTATAAAATTCAGAATAAAAAAAATTTAAACTGAAATTTAGCTCCCCATCAAATGCTAATATGGGCAAACACAAGGGAGGTTCCATATTTCTACAGTTTATTTTTTTAACAAGCATATGCCCAAACCTGACTGGTAGATGATTCGAGTGGAAGGCTGCTAGAGATAACTGTAGCAACCAAATACATTCATCACTTACTGAGCTTGAAGAAATGTTTGAGGTCTTGAAATCAGCAACAAAATAAGGAGGACAAGAAGCATATACACATTTGTGACAGTTGTCTGTGGTAGGAGAAGAAAAAGTATGATAAAGTAAGATCGGGGACAGGTTTAGAAGTCAAACTGAGCAAAGAGTTGGCCACTAAAGGAAAAATACTGAAAAAGATTCTGAATCTGCCCCTGTCCCTAAAAATTAGAAAAGAGAAGATGAAGGAAGGCATAATGGAAAAAAAAAAAAGTCATTAAGAATAAACTCTAAGTTTATACATGATGAAACCTTTTCATTAGAGAAAAAAATGATTAATGATTATTCTATGCCTTCGCTGTAATTCGTGTTTTTAAAAATTGCTCTTATTACCTTTCTTTCGAAAGAGTGCATTTAGATAATTTTCTGCTTGGCATTCAATCTTATCAGTGTTGGACTGGCCCTGAGATGACAGTTCCTCTGTAGGCGTTGACTGTGAAGAACCAAGAGTTGGTGTACAATCCTGGAAAATAAACAACAATACATACTAAAAAAATTTTTTAACACATCCTCGAACATCACTACCATACATACTGATGTACAGAATGAATCCTATACATTGATTGCAGATTATTAAATTTTCCAATGTATCTATTTGAACACAATCATATTGGAAGTTGGGAGAATCTGACAAAGAGGAAATAGATCTGGCTGTTGTGCCCTGAAGGACCTTATTCTTCAGTAAGTTTGCGTACACAATCAGACTAAGGCAGAGTCAGGAGAATTAACACATCAATCAACAAATATTTGTACATTTATTGGTGGTCCTATTAACATCATGGGACTTGACTACACCACAGGAAACGAGATTAAGTACTGGAAGGAATCTCTAAGACCATCAAGTACAACCCTCTCACTTGATAATAACTGAGGTCCACAGAGTGAATTGCACAAGGGAACCCAAGAAAAATGTGTCAGAGCTGGGATATGAACTTGGATCTCTAACTCTAAATCCAGCATTCTCCTCTGAGAAATGCTCCCCTCCCAAATCCCAAAAAATCATGCTAACTTAGATTTGTGACATTTAGGAGTCAAGGTTTGCCAAGTCAAGGTTTGGTGTGGACCAAACTAAAGCTTTACATACACCCAAAACGTCCCTAAAAATCTGAGTGGAAACAGACTCATTGTCATCAAACAAGGAACAAAAGGGGGGAAAAAAGAAAGGAAGGTGTAAGTTGACATTTGTCTTGTCATCTCCAAGTATGGCATAATGCCAGGCTTCTAAAAAACATTTATCTTTTTTTTACCAATTTAAATACTTGTTATATAGCCATTGAACAAATATTCCCTAGCCTAAATAAAGTAAAGTAATAAATTAGTTACATCTATGTAAATAGTTTAGAAATAATGTCACAATATTCAAACTTACACTGACTGCTTCTTTCTGTAGGTTACAAAATGAACATTTTTCATCCATAGACCAATCAGTCAGCTCTTCTGGTTCACAGTCTTAAGAGGAAAAAATAAATTAATTAAACTCACTGATTTAAAAAGTTTTAAAAAACAGACAACTCTGCATAGCATCAGTTTACATTAATATAAAATCAGCTTCTAGCTGCCTCAAAAAAACATTAAACTCCTTGGTTATCTGTACCACTGAACACAGTGAAAGAGTAACAATTTGGATAATAATGGGAAAAGTGTGAATAAACTAATATAATACAATAAAATAATACAAGTTATAATGTAGAATTTAAGATTATGAAAATAACATCATAAAAATGAATCAAACCAAATACAACACAACTTAAGTAAATTGACTAAAATAATTCCATTCAGATTATTAAGGCAGGCAGCACAAAATGCAAAACTTTAGAGTTGTACACTCCTTCATCAGACAATAACTCACTTTTTCTAGAAATTCTATAGATTATTAGAGTTAATTCCATGAAATCTACAGCAGGGATGCATATATACAGTGCAGAAAGAAACACACTTCGAAAAAAATCCTTTTACTCAGAAACCCCACAAATGCAGGTTCACCGTGCTATATCTGAAGACTGACTAAGTAAAATTATCTGTTGTAATTATTTTTAACTATTTACTATTACCTGAAAAATTATGTCTAATATGGGTAGTTAATCTATTACATAGTATTTTGATTAAAAAATCCACTAGTAAAAGGTGATGACAGTTTGTAAAATGCCCAGTGTAATCCCAAGAAGCAAATTCTAGACAGAAATAATTTTCAAAATCGTATATAGTACAACTTTGATAGATAGCTCTCTGGGATAATTTTCAGGGTTTTTGTCTGTTTTTTGAGTACTTAATTATTGCTCAATATAATTTACTTTTTAATCCTCCAAGCTTCTCATGAAGTATTTCTTTCTAGATATAGTTTGTATTTACTCACTTGGGCACATGTTGTTTTCCCACAGTAGAATGTTAATTTTCCTTGAAGAAGAATTACAGTCCCTGACTCCTTGAAGGGAGTGTTATGTTTTTGCCTTGATATCTATCCCCAGCTGAGCCCAACACCTAGCACATACAGTAGGCACCATTAAAAACTACATAAACAGGAAACCTATGACCTGAAAAGGAGGGGAGCTAGTTTTTGTGTAACAAGAATAAGAGAGAATGGACAGAGAAATTACGGAACTCACAAAATATTAAAAAGACTTAAAAGGTGACATTTGCAGTGTTGAACAGATTTTTCTATCAAAGAGTAAAAATGGTAGAGGATCTGTAACACTGGAGGAAATATCTACTTTCAAACAGATCATAAGTTCAATGAAATATTAAACATGAATTTCTAATTGAAGGCAGATTAATATAACTTAATTAAGGCTATAATAATTCCAGTAGGCAAAAAAATAAGTAAACCAACAAATTAAATAAAATTTTTGAAAGGTGATTTTGCTTAACAATTTGTATGTAATCCTCATCTCACAACCCTGTAGTATGCTAACTGTTTTGCTTTGGAAAATTTTAAAGCAGGAACCATCACACACTTTGAATGAAGATTTCAAAACAGCTGCCATAATTATATGACCACAGTTTTTGTTTATTTCCCCAAGTTTTGTGAAGAGAATGTTAAATTAAAAGAACCTGAAATGAATGATTTTTATTAGATTTCCAGCATCAGCTGACTATAACTCATTAATTTCATTTTGATTTTAAAATTAATATTGAATAATTCTTTTATCTAATATTTACTGAGGCTATACTGTAATTTTTAAGGCCCATACCTGTAAATGATGACAAGATGTATCTTCTACATTGGTTTCAACACAAACCTGCTGTAGAACAAGATACTTTTCCATATTATTGTTGGCTAATTTGAACCAGAACTGGTTATTGTTGACCAAGTGAAAAGTTGCATAGTTAGATCTAGGAAACCAATAAAATATAGTTCAGTGGGACCCTATATCACACTGGACTAAATAGTATGCTACAGTTGGTGGTTGACTATCTGGCCCTTATGAAGCCTGTTTGTTTGAAGTAAACATTGGATTTTTTCCTAGTCAAAAATTTCCTCTAAAAAAATTCCTAGTTATAAATTTTCAATTAAATTCCACAAGCATTAAGTAAGAACCTACTATGTACAAAGTACTGCAATCATAAATGGGGATACAAAAACAAAGAAAAATTGTTCCTGTCCTAGAAGACTTTACATTTGATTGGGAGGAATAAAACATTCACACAGACAAGTAATTATGAGAATTTAAGAAGGAAGAGAATATAACAAGTAGAGCTGGGAGGAGAAAGGAGAATACAGGAAAGCTTTCCCCAAGGAAATGAATGTGTTGAACTTTAAGGAAGTAAGCTAAGGACCCTAAGAGAACTTACTCAAAATAAGTATACTAGGCAACTTGGAAACTAAAGCCAAAAGACTACTGACTTGGATTCTAATTATTTTCATTAAAAAATTTGGGGTGGTAAGGTTTTGTTTCTGTATAACTGGAATTATACCTGAAATCTTGACCTGGATGAACAGTTTTGGTTAGGGAATTGTTTATATATATTCTGGAGGAAAATATATTCTCCCTATTGTGTCAGGAGAAAGAAATGCACAGGCTGTTCATTTTACCTATGGTAACAGAACCCAATGTTCAAATATGACTCTGAATCCAAAAGGTATATAGTTCACTCTATTGGTTTCCTAGATCTAGTTATGCAACCTTTAATTTAGTCAACAAAATATAGTTCTGGTTCAAATTGGCTGACAATGATATGGATAAGTATTTCCTGTTCTACAGCAGGTTTGTGGTGAAATCACTATAGCAAATACACCCTATCATCATTTGCAGGTATAGGCCTTATAACCTCAGTAACTATTGGACAGAAACTCCATTCCTTCTCCCCCCAAATATCCTGGGTGGTGCAGTGAAAGGTAGTATAGCAGCAAGAGTGGTGGATAAAGTGAAAGTTAAGGTGGTATAGCAACAAGAACAGTGGATACAGAGTCGCAGGACAAGGGTTCAAACCACAGCTCCCTCAATACCATGTGGGCAAGTCATTTAGCCTGTCTGGGCTTTAGTGTTGTCACTGGAAAATGAGATGATCTTTGAAGCTTCTTTTCATGCTAAACTTAATCCTATGATCCTCCAATTATGTTAATATTTGTCTTCTATGTGTGTAACTATTGGGGTCTGAAGATAAGGTTTGAATTTTTTCTAGCCTAACTAGTGAGCCAACGTTTGTTTCCAATGCACCTTATAAGGCAGAGAGAGAAACTACTGTGAGACAGACTAATTGTGCACTTCTCAAGTATGACTTCTCATGTCTTTCTTGATCTTACACATTTCCTATTTTTAAAAAGGCAGTCTAGCTAAAAGGCAACATAGCTGTAGTGGATAAAGGGCTGTCCTTGGAATCAGGAACACCCAGTTCAAGTACTGTCTCTTTCCCATACCAGTGATGTGACAACCGACAAACCTACTTTATTTCATAGTTCTCTAGGCAACTCTCTAACTTAAGGAAAAGAGGTCAATCTACGTCGGTGGAAAAAGTTTCCTCTACTGTTGAAATACTGGGTTTAACTGCCAAAAAAGATAAAACATAAACAAGAACAAAACAACCCCCCCCCCCCCCGAGTTAAATTTGGTCACTTATTTGGACTATTTCAATGGCCTCCTAATTGGTTTCCTTGCCTCAAAGCATCACCTACTTCTATTCTTCCTCCACCCAGCTGCCAAAGTGATCTTCTGTTCAGATTGATCCCCTAAGCAATAAACTCCAGTGGCTTTCTATTGCCTCTATAAACTTTTTTTATTTGGCTTTTAAGACCCTTCACAACTTGTCCCCAACCTGTTCTAATCTCATTAATGTACCATTTCTTTTCCTGTACTCTATAGTTCAGCCAAACCGATTTTGTTCCTCTGCTCCTCCTATTTCCCACCTTTGTGCCTTTGAACTAGCCATTTTGTATGCCTAAGACGTACTCCCTCCTCACCTCCATCTCATAGAACTTCTCACTTTTAAAAAATATACAGCTTAAGCATAATTTTCTACATGATGATGCCTTTCCTGATCCCCAATTTTCTTGATTTTTTTATTCTGTATACTTTATGTACATCTTGTTTCCCATGATAGAATGTCAATAATAAATATTTATTAAATGTCTATGTGCCAGTCAATGTTAGCATCTTAAGAGCTTTGTTTTCTTTGTATCTCCAGTACCCAGAACACATAGGTGCCTAATACCTGGCTTATTAATTTATTGCAGACAGTAAGCCAAGGTGCTAGTTTATTAGGCATTATTGGGTAATTATGTAAATGGTCAAAGCTGCATAGCTGAATAAACTAAGAGTACTTTAAAAAGTTGTGATAACTATACATACAGTAGACCATTGGATTCTTTCACCAAACTGAGTTTCAACTAACAGATTTACTTGGGGGAATAACGTCAAAATGTTGAACGTTAGTAGAATTAATGGACAGCAATAATTTTCAGTCCTATTAACAGAACTGAGACTATTAATAATTTATAAAAATGAAATAAACTGTTATTAAAAACATATGGCTAAATACCAAAGTAAATATATGAAAGCCAGAATACCTTATGCATACTACATATCTGGGATGATCTGTGCCCTCACTTGCCTCCACAAACAAAACAGCATTTCATAAACCTTAAAGTATTACAATTATTAGTACAGAGGGTTATTTTTCAATTTACTTGTGACACTGAAATTTAATATCACGTCAAATTTTACCTACTGCAAAAACAACATTAAGATGTGTGATCTGATATGTAAACATGTTGGATCTGGAGTCAGAAAACCCAAGTTTGCTTTATTTCACAGTGTAACCTTGGACAAATCATTTAACCTTTCCTACACCTCACTTTCCTTACCCACAAAATAAAGAGTTGGAGCAATGAAAGACCTTAGGATCCCTTTTTCCAGACCTTAATCCAAAATCCTATGACAAATTTAATTGGAAAAAACATAAAACTATAACACCTGCTAGCACTTAAAATGAACCCATACTAAAAAACCTCACTA